CCGGGCCTCCTCTCCTGCTCGGTCGTTTCTCTGTCTTTCTTCTTCTGGCGCCCCCCCCCCCCCCCCCCCCCCCCCCCCCGCGCGCGCAGACTGAAAGTGCATGTCGCAGCACGCCATCGCGAGCCGGCATGCCTCAATCTGCAAACGCGGCGGGGAGTGGTGCGGGAGGGCGCGAGTGCGCGTAGACTGAAGCAATCCAGCTTCCGCCAAGCAGGGCGCCTTCATTGGCCGCCGCAGGCGACTCCACCAGCAAGGTCACCGCGCTCTCATGCCACCCAATCGAAAACGGCGTCAAATGCTCACTGCTCTCACCATCTCCAGATTCTCTAAAACCTTCCACTCCGCTCCCCAACCTCTCCCCCTCCCTCCCCCCCCGCCACCCCCAATTACCTCGCCACCCGTTCTGCTTCTCCCTTCCCACCCTCCCACCCCCTCCTGCGCCCCTCCAAGTTCACACCATGTCACTCCGCGACCTCGCTGCCGGCGAGTCCTGCGCCGCCGGCCCGTCCACGTCGGCCCTGTCTGCCGTGGCGGACGCCATCTTGCCCACGGCCTCCTCGGCGCTCCAGTTCGCCTCCGCCTCCGCCCCCGCCTCCGCTTCCGCCTCCGCCCACCCTTCCGTCTCCAACACCGAAATGGCCCTCCTCACTGGCGACATCCCCCCTGAGCTCCTCCATGCCTCCCAAACCCACCCCATGGTCCCTCCGCCCCGCCCGGGCGCCGCCACAGACATGTTCGAGCGTACTTTCGTCGACCAACTGCAACACAACCCGGTCTTCCACCACCCGCAAGCCCTACCCCCGTACTCACAAGCTCCGCCCGAGTCCCAAATCCGCAACCATCGCCCGTTCGCAGCCGCGTTTCGTGACGCCGCACCGCAGCATTTTGCCCCTTCGCATCACCTACCGCCCGTCGAACAATTGGTCCACCAATTTTCCCGCTTTGGCACGGGCCCCGTCCACGGGAAGGCTCCTGTTCCGATGCTCAACTACCCACCACCGCCGATGCCAATGGCCGTATCCAGGCCGTATCCCACTCGCTACGCTCCCCCTCCCATGCACTACCCCCAGAACTACACGCATCCAGTTATGCACCAACAACACCAGCAGCAGCAACACCAGCAGCAGCAACAACAGCAACAGCAACAGCAACAGCAGCAGCAGCAGCAGCAGCAGCAGCAGAAACAACAGGAAGCCGAAAAGGAATCGCAAATCGCAAAGAGTGACGCGCAGAGCTGGGGCGACGAGTTTACCTCGCTCGAAGGCCCCGCAGGCCTTGCTCACGCCTATGCCAGGGACGCCGATGTGGAGGAGCTCAACGTTGCTGAGCGGCTGAGAATTGACGATTCCTTTGAAGATATGTACGAAGCCGCTTTCAGAGACTATCTGGGGAGCGGCGCGATCAAAGAACAGTACAAGTTTGCGGAGAGGGAGGGCGAGCAGAAGCACGGCAGAAGTGCCATGGAGGCCTTGGAAGAGGGCGTGCAGTTGAGGGCTTCCGGCAAGCTTGTTATGGCCGTCAGGGCCTTTGAGGAGGCTCTTAACCGCGAGGCGGGAGACCCCCATCCACCACTCGAGCGTGATCAAACTGCGAAGGCGTGGCACTTATTGGGGCTCACGCTCGCAGAGACGGATGACGATGCGGCTGCTATTGTCGCCCTGCAGCAGGGTTTGGAGGGGTACAACAGCTCGTTGCAAGGTGAGCAGCGCCAAGATAATCCCTACTTGTTGAGTTCTTTGATTGCACTGGCGGTTAGTTTTACCAATGAGCAGATGCAACCGCAGGCTTTTGGTCATATCAAGGAGTGGTTTGGGCTGTGGTGCAAGCAGAATGGAGTTAGCGACGCCGAACTGGATCGCAACAGCCAACCAACGGTGAACGGAACGGATTTGGAAGATGTGTTTCAGGACGCGGGCAAGGCTGGCGCCCAGGATTTATTGGAGCGAATGAGAAAGGCTTGCGCAAGCGCGCCGGAAGACGCGGATGTCCGCATCGTTATGGGGGTTCTCCATAATTTGCATAGGGAGTATTCAAAGGCGGCAGAGACTCTGCGACATGCAGTCATGCTCAGGCCGAACGACCCCGGGCTATGGAACAAGCTCGGTGCCACGCTTGCAAACGGTGGTGAGAGCGATGACGCGTTACGAGCTTACCGACGTTCTGTGGACATTAACCCGGCGCTAGTCCGAGCGTGGGTGAACGTTGGAACGGCATACTCGAATCGCGGGGAGTTTCCAAAAGCCGCGCGATACTACCTCAAGTCAGTTTCGATGGCGGCTGATGAAGCGACGTCGGCTCACAGCAAGGGCATCATGAATAATGAGGATAGGATGTCACATGTATGGGGCTATCTTAGAACCACGATAATCTCGATGTCGCGGCCGGACCTGCTCAACCTAATCGATTCAAGAGATATTCAAGGACTTGGATCACATTTCTCTTTCTAACACGGCATTCGGGCTGATAGATCAGATGTTAGACTAACCTACTGCTTATATAGGAACAGATGTACAATACATTGGGACGAGAAAGAAAGAAATGTTAAACAGCAAACTCAAGTGTTCTCAAAGTTTGTGCCGTGTGCAGCGGCTGCAAATATTGTTCCGACGACTTGTTGACTTTTTTCGCTCCACTGTTGGAGTGGTCTTTGTTGGGAAGTCGAGGACAAGAACGTGAAAACGTAAATTTTGCCAAAAATCGAACCCGCTAGTGGAAAAACTCCTTGTGAACTGCGCGAACAGCTTTCTTAGCATCGGTGCCGTCAATCGTAACGGAGACATTGAACTTGCTAGCCCCCTGAGATATCATTAAGACTTTGATTCTCTCTCTATCCAAGGCTGTAACGGCTCTCCCGACGACTTCGCTGCTTCGGGCCGAGTCGGAGACTAGCGAGATGATGGCCTTGTTGTTCTCCGAAAACGAGACCGTAGCAATGGTACTCAGGTCTGCAGTGAGCTGATGCAAGATGGTATCATCGCACACAGAGTTGTCCAGGGTCATGGAGATGGAGACCTCGGAGGTGGCGATCATATCAACGGAGATTTTGTGATAAGCAAAGGCCTTGAAAACCTCTGCCAGGAAGCCTGAGGCACCTAGCATCCTGGTACTGACGACATCAACGATCTGGACATTCTTCTTAACACTGACAGCGGTGACAGGGTTTTCGTTGTCAAACTCCCTGGAGCGCAGAATGACGGTTCCTGGATGATCTGGGTTGTAGCTGTTCTTGACACGAACCGGGATATTGCCTCTCATGGCTGGGAGCATGGCAATGGGATGAAGGACCTTGGCACCGAAAAAGGCCATCTCGGCAGCTTCCTCGAAGGAGATGGACGGGATGGGTATGGCGTTGTGGACGATGCGGGGATCCGAGGAAAGAATGCCGTTGACATCTTTCCACACCTGGACCTCAGATGTGCGCAGTGCGGTGCCCAGTACACTGGCGGTCAAGTCACTGCCACCCCTTCCGAGGGTGGTAATGTTGTTATTAGCATCCTTTGCGATAAAGCCGGTGACGACGGCAAGGCGGTCTGGGGCAATGTTGTCATCAAAGTAGGCCTTGACATTTGCATAGGTATCCTCCAGCAGCTCGGCACTCGTAAAATCCGAGTTTGTGCGAAAGCCCGCGTCGAACGAGTCGACATGGACTGCATCAATGTCCTCATTGATCCTCAAGTGAGCGGCAAAGATTCTGACGCTGAGGCGCTCCCCAAACGAGACCAAGTAGTCCTTTGTCCTGGGGCTAAGCTCCTTGATGAACTTGACGCCGACGAGCAGCTCGTCAACGTTATGCAGTAGGGCATCGACCAGCTCCGCGCGCGGGAGGCCCAGGGAGTCGCAGGCCTCGTAGGCGCGGTCGCGGATGGCGGACATGTCGACGACGCCGTCGTGGAGGGCGCGGTGGCCGGCCGCGAGCAGGTCGTTGGTGCTCTGACCCATGGCCGAGAGCACGACGACCGGCATCTTGTCGGAGACGGCGATCTGCAGGCGGACGAGCTTGGTGACCTCGCGCAGGCGCGCCGAGTCCGCCAGGCTCGACCCGCCGAACTTGCACACGA